ATACAGGTTATTAGACTGGGCCCACCCAGATTGAGGAGCATCTCTGTATCTTAAAGTCTGTAATCTTAATTACATCTGTAAAGTCCCTTCTGCCACTTAAGGTAATAAAGGTAATAAGGTAAAATATTCACCAAGACACATTTAGTGTCAACAATATCTTACTGATAGATAACTGTGGTTATATTACATGTCTTCTGTGCTTTGCTCCATACACAAATCCAAATATACAGAAGGTAGACTAGAGGCCACCAGAGAACAGAATAACTGTTAATGGTGCAGTATCTCTGTCTGAGATGAAGGGATAGAGTGGGAAAGGAGCAGTGGTGACAGCTGCACAACATGGTTAATGTACTTAATGTCCTTGAATACACACCTAAAATAGATAAATGATAAATTCCACAATATATATTAACAAATGAAAAGATGGGTTTCATTATAAACTCTGACTTATAAGTTTCTACAGATACACACAAAGCATTAGAGATGGTAAAATCTTTAGTTACACTTGAAACCAAATGGATCTACACAATTACCCACAAAAAAGAGTTTAACATCAGCTATAAGTATGCCCTTCTGTCAGGGAAGAGTTTATTTAAGTATTTAATGAGTAAGAGATGGTATGCTTAGAAATGTGTTTTGGTATTATACATAAATTATGTTTTAATGAGCCATTATTAATTGGATTTTTATTTTTATAACTGTTAACACCAAAGTAATCCCCCCCTCCCTTGTGATCCATGGTAGGATTTAGAAAAGTTGAAAGATTTTACATATAGAACAACAGCTGCAATTTTCTGTGCTCTTGGTATCAAAAGGCATTATTTCATTTAATTCTCACAGCAAAGTTAAGTATAGAACTCTATTTTAAGGGGGACAAAGCTGAGGTTCAGAAAGTTGAAAAATAAGTGGTTCCACAGCTGGTGAGGAGCAGAGAAAGGACACAAACCTGACACTAAGTGATTGCAAAGCCTGCTCTGCATCAGTATGCTTCTGAAACAAGGTCTGTACATTCTAGGCTAAGCATGGAAATGTGAAATCACAGCACCAACAGGCATCATCATGGGGAAAAACTACTCCTTATAAAAAAATGTAGAAAATAACTGAGTTTCTGTACTTAAAAAAATTTGAATTATTAAAGTATATTTTAATAATAGAACAAACATGGATTATAAAACAGTAAAAAGGCAATACTAACACAAAATTTTGAGAAAGAACATACCTTCAAAGAAATTTTGTATCTGAAGTTTCTTAAGGGGTCTTAAATCAACCTCAGCATACAGAGAATAGTACAGAAGAGTAAGCAGACCTACCTCTCTACCTTTTTCAACTAGGTTGACTGGGATGCTGATGTTTTAGCACTAAATAAACATATGGCTTTCTACTTCTGAATTATGTCAACTATAGACAAACAGAAGTGATGAATAAGAAATAACTTTCCTATTTTACTTAAGGAAAAGGAGCCATGTTTAACTCTTCACATACATGCTAGATACTTAATTACATAACAATCATTTTGGATCTCCAGTGATTTCTTTCAGGTATGCCTACCAGATTTCTAGCTTAGAACAAGAAAATAGCAAAACAGATAAGGATTTAGATCAATCTTCAGTAATCACACATTTATATGATGAAAGAAATAATAGGTAAATTGTATTGGAGGTTTCAGGCAGTGAAATAAGAAAAAGAAAAAAAAACAGAAATCTCACTGTTAGTCTGCTTTCCATCACTGTGACAATACCACAGATAATAAACTTTTAAGAAGTAAAGGGGAGTCACAGTTTCAGTTCATGGTTGGATGGAATGTTTCACCACCTCTCAATAGTATCATGAGCAAGACACTGAGCTCTTAACACATGAGCCACTGGGGGACATCTAAACCACAGCACTCATATTAGCAGCTGACAGGATCAGGTATACAAAAATTTCTAAGGAATTTACAATGCAGCTGCTAGAACTAATGATTCAGCCAGGTTGCAGGATGCAAGGTAAAAACGTATAAATGTCTACATATGAGCAACAAATACTGAGAAGTAAAATAACATAATTTGCAACAGTTTAAAAACAAATAAACTTCTCAAGATCTTTTGTAAGACAGTATACCAAACATTATAAAACATTGCTGAGAGAAATTGAAGAAGATGTAAATAAATGAAAGATACCACATTCATGGACTAGAAAATTCAATATTGTTAAGACATCAATTCTCTCTAAATTTCCCTATCGCTTCAAAGTAATCCCAGAACATAGTCCAGTAGGTGTTTTATGGAAGACTAAATTGATTCTAACATTTATATAGAAATCCAGAGACAGATGATTTTGAAAAAAAAAAAAAGCCAGGCACCAGTGGCTCACGCCTGTAATCCTAGCTATCAGGAGGCAAAGAGCAGGAGAATCATGGTTCAAAGTCAGCCCGGTGAGAATCTATCTTGAAAAAAACCACCACAAAAAATGGGCTGGTAGAGTGGCTCAATGTGTAGGCCCTGAGTTCAAGTCCTAGTACTGTAAAAAAAAAAAAAAAAGAACATAAAACTAAAGGGCAAAGGGTTTATACTCCTGATTTAATGACTTATTATCAATTTCTAGTAATGAAGTATTAGCATAAGGACACAGAGATCAATAAACCAGAGAAAGAGTTCAGAAACAGAGTCAGCCATACAATTACTTGATTTGACCAAGCTGCCAGGGAAATTCAAAGAGCAAAGAATAATCTTGACAATAAATGGTCTGGAACAACTGGATTTCAATACTGAAACAAACATTATTCCTCAAGCCACAAAATTAATTTGAAATGGACAATGAACCTAAATAGGGGTTAAAACTACAAAACATCTAGAAGAAAATGTATGCTACCCTCAGACAGACAAAGATTTCTGAGGACACAAAAATATAAACTGAAAATAAATAAACTGGACTTCATAAAAATTTAACACTGTTTGAATAACAGTGTTAGCAAATAAAAACATAAAGAAAATAAGCCACATACTAAGATATGACGTTAATCAAAGTCCTTGATCTAGAATGTATAATGAATTCTCGAAACTAAAAAAACCCCCAATCTGATGATTATACATTGTACATATGTATTGAAGTGTCATATTTTACCCCATAAGTACTATACATCAGGTTAAAATATACTTTAGAAAAATCTAATGTGGAAAACGGCCAAATTCTGCAGAAGATATGAAAACAGTAATAAGCATGGGGCAAACGCTCAGCATCAGGAGCCACGGGGTAACTGTAGGAACTATGAGGTACTGTTGTGCATTGTCAGGGTAACTCTCACGAACCCTAAGTCAGGCAATCCTACAACAGGCCACTCCTAGGTATTTATCCAAGAGAAATTAATGAAAGCACATACCTACACAAAGCTTTGTGTAAAATCGTTCAAAACAGCATCATTCACCATAGCCTCAAACTGGAAAACAACCAAAATGTCCACTAACAGGTGAGTGAATAAACGACCTGTGATACGGACACACATCAGAATACTACTCAGCAATAAAATGGAATGACCCTCTGGAAAAAAGAAGCAACGTGATGAGTCTCAAAAACATGGTGTTGTTCCAAAGAAGCCAGGCAAAAAAGTTTACATTTATGATGTCGTTTATATGAAAGTCTTGAATGCATAATACTAAACTCTAATGACTGAAAGGACATCAATGGCTAGCTGGAGTCTGAGTTCATGGGAGCAGGAGAAGGCACGAGGTAGCTGTGGAGGGTGAAGTAGGCACTAGAATGTATCAACCTATCTGTATCAGACAAAATAAATCTATACACTTAATAAAACTGATTTAAAAATTGTTCTAAACCATATGTTCAGCTAAATGGGACATGTAATTTAAAAGAAGGCAGCTAATTACAGAGATCAAATTATAAACATTTGTGTTAAAAAGAATTTAAGATTAAAGTAAGAATTGGAGAGGCTTTCATCATATTATTGGTGCTTTGAAGACAAATCACTTTGAGAAGGGGTTCAGTCTTTAAAAATTTTATTCTGGGCTGGGGGGATGAGCACTTGCTTAGCATGCATGAGGCACTGGGCTCAATCCTCAGCATTGCAAAACAGGAAGCAAAACAAACAATTAAAAGAAGGTTAAAAAAGTGGTCACATAGAAGAATGAACTAACTTAACTGATATGATATATTGTTGCAAAACTTTCTATACAGGGGCTTTTTAGGGTAAACAGTGCATTTCCTTTCTAATTGTAAGAAGCAGACAAAGTGGCACCAGAATTCAAGCTGTCAGGCTCATCTTTAATGTTCTCTAAAACATTTATTTCAAAATTTAGCCAAACCCTCTTTGTAGCTCCATCTTGCCTAACTTTACTTCATTCAACCCTACTTACTGCATTTTATGAATTCCAACTTACTATTTATTGTACACAAAGCTCTGGTGTTTGGAATGGCCCTGGATATAGGACAGGTATATGTGGAAGTCTGTGGCCAGCCGTTTTAATTATTTTTTAGTCTGAGTCACATTATAATTTCCTTAATTCAACTTCATACTTAAATTCAGGTACCACTATTGTAAGAATTAAAGGATGGCAAATAATGGTTTCCAAAAAAAGAGAAAATAATGGTTTTCTATCTCAATAATACCTTTCTACATATTTTCAGAAGTACCATCTGACAATGAGGCAAAATCTATTACTTTCAGCTAGGGTTCTTGAGTTCTAAATAGGGGACCCATATATCTTACTTATAAAGAAGTACAAACCTGCAAAATATGCTAATAGCATATCATATCACTTTATTTTTATTTCAGTTTCCTGGTAAACTATCTAACACTTACATTACACAAGTAAATGAAGCTCTAAATGGTTACATACTTTGCCCAAACTATGAAACAAAAGAACTGTGATAAAAAATCAGATATTTTAACTCTAATGCCCACGCTCTTACTGTCATGCTGTAATGCCTCAAAAGGACTCAATCTTTGTGAGAGGCACTACATAAACTTGAGAAAAGAGTGACAGCATAATTTTTAAAACTCCATTTACCTTCAGGGGACGCAGAGCACCACAAAATTTTGTCCACCAGCTGTTTTCAATGAATTCTAAGTGCCTCTTTCTTTTCCTAAGTGTTCGTAACCTTTCTTCAAATTGCTTTAAGGCACGTTTATCCCTTGCTGACAGAGGTCGACCATCTTTGCTCTGCAAATAATAGAAATTAAAGAATTATTTTTTACCATTAGGGTCTTAATAAAATACTCATCAGATTTAGCAAATCAGGCAACAACATTTTTTTAGCTTGAACAATCCTTGGGCAAATTTATAAACAGAAAAAAATCTGACAACTGCAATGTAACAATAAATATAGCTGAACCAAGGGTCAGCACAAAAATGCAGATGTGTACATATTTGATACTGACCTTTGATTGCTCTGTTTTGCAAAAATATAGTAAAGTTATGTGATCACAATTATTTGTAAAAGCACAACATAAAAAAGGAAAAAGGATGTTTGTTTATAAGAAGTATTAACTACTATGTATTTTGTTTAATTATTCTCCCTTGCTTCCAAACTCCTTCTCTCGTCTTTATTTAGTCCTTCCCTTTTCCTCCCATTAGTTGAGTGGTTGTCTTTCTTGAACTGATGCCTCTAAGCCCATGTCAAAAGCCAATAGATACAACACAAGCATAGATGGCATGAACAGAGGTTTTTATAACGATTGCTAAGTTGGCACGTCCTTGTTCTCCAAGTATATTTGCAAATAAGTCATGCTTTCTTTGGCCAGCCTACTGCAGATAATTCCCATCTACTTTTATGTGCTGTTTTCTGTGTTCCTGATGTCTCAGCAATGCACTTTGCCACCTCAACTTCCCTGCACCTAAGTGTCTTTAATTGGGTACAATAATAAACTCCAATAAGGTAATTGCTAAATACAAAAAAAAAGATGAGATATAAACTTGTTTGCTTTATTGAAAGGAGTAAGAAAAATATTTACACTTGACTACATTTTAAAAATGTAAAGATATTAGAGAACAGAATGTCTTGAACATTCCTGTTAAAGATATTAAAGATTAAATGGTTCTTAGCAAAAACCCAACCTATTGCTTTCCAGCATACCCCATTGCAGCTTCGATTTGAAAGTATATAAGGTGGATTATATAAAAAAAAATTTTAATAAAGAAATTCTCACAAGTATAAAAATTCTTTTACATATTTACACTACCAGGCTCTTCTGAAACTAACCATCCTCTTTCATATCTTAATATTTCTCAAACTTTATCATACATAAGCATCATCTGAAAAGTTTGTTAAAAACAGAAACTGGGCTCAGAATTTTTATTTCTACCAAATTCCCAAAGAGACGCTGATCCAACACATACCCCTTATTAAAAAAAAAAAAAAAAAGAAGAAGAACATGAAAGCTTCCCTTCACTCTGCCCCCAAATACAGTATTACAACTCCCGTTCATATGGTCATTGTTGCTGACCAGACCAATATTCTTCATGTATTTACACATTCACATACGTGGACAGGTGTTCACAGTTTTTGCTCCACATAATAGCCAACGTATCTTGAGTACTTTTCTTGTACCTAAAACTGGCTTTCTCTTTTTATATTTATTCTCCTTAAATATTCAAAATAACCCCCTCGAAATAGGTAATAGTAATGTATTCATTTATTAGGTAAATAAATGAGAAAAATAAGACGAGAGATGTTTGATGTATAATCAATAGAGCCAGAATTCGAACTGAGAGAATATGAGTTTATATTATTCAAGCTATATAAATCTACCTCATTCCTTTCCATTCCTGAACAGTACATCACACCATGGTATCTTAATTTACCAAATACTTATTTTTGAATACTTACTTTTTTCTTGGTGAGGGTCATTAGTGATGTGCGATAAACATCTTTATATAACTGGGTACAAATCTATACATTTAATCCATATAGATACATATGAACTGCTAGGTTAAACTTTAGTTATTAAAAGGCACATGTAATAACATTCCATTTTCCATAAAAAGCTCTGTACCTTATATTCCCACAAGCGGTTTACTGATCCCTAAATTCTCATCACTACTTCACATAGGTAATAACTAAAAAAATTTCCAAAGAATAAAAATGTATGTATTGAGCTGTTCTAATTTTCATGCCTTACTAGGGTTACTAGTGATCCTGGGTTTCATACTGAAAGTCCCATGTCTAGAAATCATCTCAGTCCCAGGTAAACTGGGGCACTTGGTCAACCTGATCACTACTTGGCTGAAGCATAATTTCATATAGTTTCCCCTTTAGAGAACTAACTTTGGGAGCTATTGTTTCTGGGTGCTGCTTATCCTTTTTCTTCCTAGCTTAATGATCTCTTTACATATCACCTTCACTGCAGTTACTCCCCCATTATTGTTGGTCTTTAACTTTCATTTAGGTGCCCTTTTCTAGTCCATAAATTTCACATCATAAAACTTTTAAAGTCATAAAGCTCTGAATTAGCACCTAGGTTTTATGTCTTTTTTAGAAAAGTCTTAACATCAAGGCAATTTTTTACTTTCTATTAAGTATTTTATAAACTTTTATACTTGGTTTGAATTCAGAATCCAGTTTAATGTGATATGAGATTTTATGTAAATTTCATTTTTTCAGAAACTTCACCTAAACTTGTTAAAAAACAAAAAAACTTCCATCTCTGTAATACTTTATCTTCCCAATTAGGAATTGATGAAGTTCACCATTTCTTTGAGTCTTCTATTATAATATTTAGTTAACTTTTATAATTTCCACCAGGAAGATCTTGACATTCCTTATAGTTTGTGCTATTATGAATATATATCCTCCAACTGTTTAACAATTTTTGGTTTTTTTTGTGGTACTGGGGCTTGAACTCGGGGCCTTCACCTTCAGCCACTCCACCAGCCCTATTTTTGTGAAGGGTTTTTCAAGATAGGGTCTTGCGGAACTATTTGTGGGCTGGCTTTGAACCATGAGCCTCCTGATCTCTGCCTCCTGAGTAGGGGGCGTGAGCCACTGGCGCCCAGCTAACAATTTTTATGTTTGAATCTAGACATTTTGAAGAGCTCATACTGGTTCTACTAGTTTATCAGTTGTCAATTTTAATTGTGTTGGTAGACAATATCTATAAACATCAAAGATTATTTTTGCTGTTTTTCTCCCTTTCTCCCAACATTTCTATCTAAATTTTTTCTTATCTGAGTAGGATCCCCAGGAATATGCTAAAGAGTGGCAATGATACTGACATTACATTTGTCAAATACTCTCTGGCATCTATTAAGAAGCTCATATTTCTCATTTAATCTCAATATATCAAACTACTGCAATTTATTTTGTATCATCTTTGCATTTCTGAGATACACCGAGCTTGATCATTATGAAGTACTCTTTTATTTCAGCATAGGTTTTGAATTACTAATATTTTTATTTACATTAATAAATTTGCCTCTACCTCATATAAAAGATAGTATGTGTGCTGTTATTCCCTGATTTCTTTATCAGGATCATACTAGCTTACTAGAATAATTCAGAAAGCTTACCATTTTTCCTAATCCTTAAATAATATAATCTGAAGATGATAAAGGAAGAAAAATGTGGAATGCATTTTAGAAGTAAATTTAATTGGCAAGATTACATAAATCTTTATATCGTTCAACTATACTCAAAATTTGAACACAAGCAATATAGTGAACTATGATGTCACACAACTTAGAGCTAGCAAGGTCCAGTTTTGCTTTTTGGTTGTTAGAAACTTACACAATTTTCAAATTGCCAGTGTTCTATGTTATACAGAAGACAAATTTTTAAAAATACAAACATGGTTCTTGAAATACCTGTTGCAAAATATTCAAACAATATAATAACTATGTGTTTGCCAATGTTGAAGTGACATCAGAAGGTATCTCAAAGATAAAGTAATTTTCAGATTCCCAATTACAACAAAACACCAGCTCACTTTTGATTTAATCGTTTGAATGTGTTGCTCCACTTCTTCAATGTCTTCAGTATTTTCTAAACGTTCGTAAGTAGCACTTCTAGTACCTTTTATCAGATTTAAAGGTAATGCTGACATGCCATAGGCCTAAAAGAAACAACATTGAAATGTTTTAATAAAGCTCTTTCAAGACATTATATGCAAATTTCAAGTAAAATATATCCTTTAGAGTGAACAACAGTGGAAGAAGTCACTGAAGAACATGGTATATGGGAATGCACCATCATATTGTCTCAATTTTTATTTCACACTTACTTTTATGTACTTGTAGCATTAACTATTTCTCAAAGACCAAATTACACACTTAATGTAAAGATATTTATCAAAATAATAAGTTAAACCTTCAGGTTAATCAGGTTCAGAAAGTGTGAATTAGCAAAAGCAATTTGAAAACAAAAATAATTTTCTCCATGTAAACCTTTAGAAAAAAGTAAGTAGTTTAATATATACATGGTATTTTAAAAGTATACCAATTATCTATATGTATAGTTTATTTAAAATTCTATAGATTTATAACCAATCTTTTTGCTAAGTATTTAAATAGCTTCCAAGAAATAATTTTTAGCTATTAAGCAGCATTAAGAATAAATGGACTACTGTGAATACTACTCAATTCCATATTCTGGTCTCTAATGGCGATTTTTCTTTTGGTGGTATTGGGGCTTGAACTCAGGGCCTCACACTTGCAAGGCAGGCACTCTACCATTTGAGTCATTCCACCAGGCCTGTTTTGTGTTGAGTATTTTTGAGATAGGGTCTCAAGAACTATTTTCTCAGGCTGGCTCTGAACCACGATCCTCCTGATCTCTGACTCCTGAGTAGCTAGGATTACAGGCTTGAATCACTGATCCCTAGTCCAAATGACATTTTTTTTATTATAACTATTAGCATAGCACTAAATGGCATTTGCCATGTGGCCCTTACTCAGAAACATTATTGGCCTTAAATCCTTAGAAGAAGCACTGACAACTATTACTTCCTGGTTACAGTAACAGGCTTTTGGTAAAATTTTACAGCTTTCACATTTTTCTTCAGAGCACACAATAAAACTACTTTACCCACTCTCCCTGTAGTTAGGGCCATAAGATTGAGGTCACTACAATCAATGTGGTAGTGGTAAATGTCACTTCTTAGGCTTATCCCCATTCTGTACTGAATGGGTTAGAATCCCTTGACTTCAGTAGTCAACACTGTTTCCCTAGGAATCTTTTGGTCTTGTCAGTATTAGTGGCAGTCTTTATTTAGAGTCGCTGTCAAATATTAGGTCATTTAATTTTCTTGACTGGTCTGCTGGTGTCACTTTCTGAAAACCCTTTTTCTATTGTTTCTAATGTGTTCTCACTCTAACATCCAAGTCAGATTATGTCATTCTTCTAGTTAATATCCTCTAAGTTTCTCCAGGACTGAAAGAGGTATTTTTCACAGAGTTCTCCTAGGAGTTCCTAGGATTCTAGGAAGGGCCTCTTGGACCAATACAGAAGGTAAGAAGGCAGCCATACAGTGACCTGCTACTACTTTAACTAGAGAGATTCAACGCATACATATATAGATATAAATATGAAATTTCATAAGATTTTTTGTTAAAGTTTACTGTTTTTTTTTTTTTTCAATGACAGGTAGGATTATTGGTCTTGTGACTAGACACAATTAATGCAATCCTGGACACTTACCAGCTTGTCAACTTTATCTCATGTCTAACAATTTTTTTTACCATTCTTTAAACACTTCAATTTTATACTACTTCACTCTTAGCCAGCATCAACACTTTAATACATAGTCTGCCCTGCCCCATAATACTACCTACTTACTCTAGTTCATTGGAAAATACCAATGACACTCAGGCCTCACTTTAATTACACTATATCTGAGAAACCTTTCTTGATTTGTAAATGTGCCTTGCTTATGATAAAAACATTATTGGTCTGAACACTTTTGTTAAATCACTAGAACTGCCAAATTTGACTAATCTGACTTCTAAGCCGGTCCAGTAACAATGACAGTAGTATATTCTATATATGTAGTATGTCTATGTACACACACACGTACATATACATAATATTACACAGTATTAGTGATATGTTGGTATATTAGGAGTAGGTCCCAATTTTTTCTTTTACCTTTAATCCAAGAACAAACACTTATTAAATTAATAAAATAATTCTTCTAAGAAAATAATATTTGACCAAAAATCTTTTAAGAAGAGCGAACTCTTAATTAATATGAAATTATTTCCTTTCATGGAAATGGTATATTTATTAGAAGAGTTAAACAGAAATCCTTAAGTAATGTAAAATATTTTATAAAATAAAAATATGCCCTTGGTAACAACTTGTCAGAACATGAGATCAAAATACAGTATCTTTTTCTGAAGTTTTAATTGTCTGAAGACTGCAAATAAAGTAACTACTGTTTGGCTACCAAGCTTTTAGCCTACTTTTAGATTACATGTTTAAGTTTCAATGATTATTTGAAGACTTAACTGTAAAACTTAGATTTTAATAAACATTTGCAAAACATTAAAGACTTTAAATAACAACCTTCTGAATTTAACCTCAGGCTTCTTTAAAATATATATATATTTTAAAGAATACACACACACACACACAAAAACACTACCTTTTCAGAAACAAAATTTTTATTGCTTACTACTGCCCTCAAGTGGCTTTCTAAAAAATCAACAAGGCTAAAAGATGGCATGCACAGTAGTTTAAAAACACTTCTAGGTTGGTCACAATTGCCTCCAATTTTATTTATTTGATTTCCAAGAATAAATCACCAACAAAAATGTTCAAAAATCATACATATAGCCATAAATATTTCTTGCATAAATAAATAGTGTATGAACAAAAAAAAAAAAAAACCTTATAAGTAAATAATTATGTCAGAAGCCCAAACAGGAGGTATACAGTGAATTAGAAGCCAGTTCCGATCGCCTAGGGTCCACAAGGAAGAGGTCTCATGGAAGCTTGAAGATGCCAGGTGAAGCCTATAAGAAGCAAACAGAGGGCTTCTCCTCTATAATCAGCTATTACTTAGGAGTTTTTTAAGTACCCCAAGAAGTAGGAAATCACCATCCTTTTTAATTTGTTCTAAAAGAATCTGCCCACACAATCAGTCCATGAAACAGACAGAGAAGCACAGTTGTTGCAAATGAAGAGACAAAAATGCTAATTTGCACAGACATAATTTATCACCTATAAAACTACAATGAATATATTAAGACTATTATAAAATAATTTCCTATATGTAAAGCTTACCAGTGAGAAGGCATTAGCACCAACAAGCCTTGTATAGCACAAATGAAAAGTGTATAATACACAGAGAGGATGTCAAAAGTGTCTGATACCCAGCTGTATTTGATTGCTATTGTTACAATAACCAATTACTCCAAATTTAGGGCTACAGAGTAACAGCACCTTATTTTCTGATAGTTCTTAGAGCCTGAAGTCCAGAATGAGGATTACAGGGCTGGAAGCATAGTATCAGCAGGGTTGGTTCCTTCTAGAGGTTTCAGGGGAGAATCCATTTTCTTGCCTCAATAAGCTGTTAGACGCTGTTGACACTCCTGGGGTTGTAGCCACGTAATTCACTCTATGTTCTCATCTCCTTCTTTTCTGTCCTCAATCATCCCTCTGCCTTTTTTTTTTTTTTTTAAATAAAGACACCTGTAATTCTTTAGGGTCCATTAGATAATCCAGCACAGTGCCCCCATCTCAAGACCCTTAGATCGGTAAAATGCCTTTGCCATGTAAAGTAACATCCACAGATCCCAGGGATTAGAACGTGGATATCTCTGGGGCTTTTACTCAGGTATCACAACAGCTTCAAATCTCACTGAGGCACGCATGGGAAACACTCAGGATGCTTCTCACAGCAGCATGCTGAAATATCCCAGAAACAGGAACTGTCCACAGCCTACTTTTTAAAAAACTGCCGGTGTAGGGGGGTAACCTGTCCCTTTTCTTGAAATACTTGTTCTGGACTGATCTGTGTGCTTCTAAAATTCACAAGTTGAAACTTAGTCACTCACATGACCAGTATTAGGAGATAGAGCCTTTGGGAAGTATCAGGTCATGAGGACTCAGAATTAGAGCCCTTATAAAAAGACCCTAGAGGTGTGTCTCCTCACTTCTATCATGTGAGGGAACCTGGAGAAAATATGGCTATCTATTAACTGGGGCCTTACTGGATGCTGAGGTTTCTGGCACCTTGATCCCAGACTTTTAACACTCAAAACTGTGAAAAATAAGTTTTCACCTGAAACTGTGAAAAAATTGTTTATAAGCCACCTAGTTTATCAGATTTTGTTACAGCAGCCTAAAAGGACTAAGACAAGTAGTATAATTGGGACCCCAGTCAGTAGCAGACAGGCACACCAAACTCACTAGCTGTCTTCCTACTTATAGGACAAAAGAACCAATTAGGAAAGGTTTCTGAAATGGAAGGAACAACGAATGCACAAAGCTTGCTGCAAGAAGAGCAGGTCAGGGTTTCGGGAATGGCAGGTTTTTACAGAGCACAAGGTTTATTCCTACATTTCTCCCAACTCAACAAACTCTTTATTCAATTGCCAGGACTTTGGCTTATAGAATGGATCTCAGTAAAGAGCCATTTGACTTGATCATGGTAGAAACAAAAGTTAGATAGATGGAATCATTTATGGTGAATTGAATCTAGAACAGTTTGCACCAGTCATTGACTTGTGCTGGAGATGGCTGTGTCCACCAGGCAGGACTCACGGGGTTTCCTTCCCCTGCCTTTCGTATATGGGATGGCATCCACACCATGGCCCTGTAACCATGCAGCAGTGGGCTTCTTTTTTCCAGAGACCACTGGTGTGGGGAGGGCTCCTCTTACCTTCATTAGGAGAGAGGAGTTTACAGAAAGGTCCAGCCATAGAGGCATAGAGGTCCCTGCACACAGGAAAGCAGGCTGAGAGCAAGCAGGGTTCCCAACAGCTCAGGACAGGGTCTAATCTCAGTTTAAAGTGAATGCTGCTATTCACACGTGACAAACAGTAACAAATAACCGTGTTCTCAGACTGAAGCCTGGAGGTGGTCAGGGAGGTTGAGTTGCTAGACCTATAG